TACTACTACTACTACTACTGGCAGTAGCAGCTGTCGTCGTCATCGTCGTCTTCGTCGTTACCGTTGAAGTGGTTGTAATGAACTTGAGCGGTTGTAGTGGTACTATGACCCCATACCTGCTGAAGCCGTCCTTGTTGCCACTGTCACCCGCTGCATAGTCGCTGCGACAGGCGAGCTTCACAGTCCTCGTTTTGTTTTCCGATTGTACCGGCCTTCGTCATCGGTAATTATCTGAGAAGGGGTTCTAAAGCAAACTTGCTCTACTGCTGCGGTCCGGCAGTTAACTGGGGTTCTTGTTCGAAATGTTTTCCAGGAGCCCGGAGCGCAACTGCCTGGGGTAGTTGCCGAAAACAAAGGTTGCGTTGAGTTGCCTGGACATTTCCTGGATCCTGTAAGCGCAGCGGCAGAAGACATCACCGCTAAACCCCTAAACCCTGAAAAAAGCAAGGCAGACTCGAAAGACCTCCGGGCTGAAAGTGTTCAGCGTCGCCAGGTCTGCCTCTTCATCCACTGAAAACCCCAAAAAGCCTAAACTCTGCGCATTCCGAACGTGATATATATATATATATACACATGTGTATATAATGCACCGTTGCTCCGAAGTGTAGCCCAGGTGCGTGTTGGGCTTCAGGGACAGCAGCGACTTCTGGATGGCCTAGCAGTTGAAACAGGGTCATGGGTTTGAGTTTGCAGTCCAGTCGGACAAGCCCAGAGTTGCGCTTTGGGCTTGAACTAAGCCTCCCCGGCTCTGCCAGCTCCCGGAGTTTAGGTTGGGGATGTGGCGAGGCTGCTGGCACCAAGCCTAGGACTTAGGAGGTACGGAGCCGGAGCTACGAAGACGCGATTATACCTTGAAGGCCTCAACCACTCGGAACCACTAGAAGAGGACATGTGCACGGAGTGATCCCGATCCGTCCTTCGAGCAATGAATCTCATTCATGCTTGCGCTGGCCATCCTCAGCTGAGCTTCGTGGGTTGTTAGAGCGGATTGCTAGGTCGCGGTGTAGGATGGTTCAGGGTCTCGTGGGACGAAGGGTGAGGGCAAAGACTAACAGCCAAGAGTCCGGAAATCTATGCCCACCCGCTTCTCGAGTACCTGCAGGGCGCTGCCCTGAAGGACGTGGATTCAGCAAGATCTTCGAATCTACAACTGCATCATGCTATCGTCCATAGGACTGCCCGTAGACCCCACTACATGTAGCCTCTGTAACTCAAGGCTGCTGAAAGTCCCATTCCCAAGCAACCTCAATGGGGCAAGGAACCAATATTAAAAGAAACAATAATCAGACTACTGATAAGTATCATTACTGTAGCAATACAACATAACAAATAAAAATCACCACCATCCTTATCTACATTAGGTAGGACCCGCCTCGCCGGACGGCAGTGACAGCACATAGTTTATCTGCACCTGGCCAGGTGTCGTCGTCGAAGCTTACGGTCTCTTAAGCAGCCCTCAATATCCAAAGGATAACAATGCATAAGATTCTAGATTCCCTGCACTCACGGGCTCCATCGGGGCCTGAAACACTGGCAGATGTGCTGCATCATGGGCTTTCCGTCTTTTGGCCTTGGGGGTGGGGTGGGGGGTCGGAGACCAAGTCGACCTCGTCAGTAACTTTCGGAGACGGGCCGTAGTCGTCGCCCTCCTGCGTAGCAACACAGCTAAGCTTTACAAAAGCACCAATGCCAGGCAGCACTTCCTTGTTCATGTTCCAGGCAAGTCTGAGGGGCGAAGCTCGTGTAAGTAGGTCGGAAAATAGGTCGGTCAGTCGGTCGGTTGGTAAAACATTACATGTATGCATGTATATATATATATACATGTATATATATACACACACATAACTGCACGTAATATGTGCATTTAAAAGACTGGGTGTGAGTACACCAACCTGCATGGAGCACTGCACTAAAATATCGAGGGTGCAGTTTTAAAACTGTGGTATGTATGTATTTTGGCTCCCACTTGACACTGCATGGCAGGTCACAAGAGTATCGGAGAATCAAGCCGACTTAGAAAGCACTGCGACAGGGTCGGCTCAACGTGAAACCCAGTCAAAGCACAGCACATGCACAGTACTCTGGAAAGGCACAGTTCGGCGCGCGCAGGCGCCCACTCACACTACGCAACACATCACTTGCTGAAACACTCTGGGAGGCAAGACAGTGGAACCTTAGGACTCACTGCAGAGGGCTCTCGTCACCTCCAGATCACCCCGCGCTTTCCAGTGCCCCGAAGACCAGAATCGACTGCCCCGTGGCCAGAGAGGACCGCCATCAGCTGGCTTGTATGCACATCCCCCTTTGAAAGACAAAGCGGCCTTCACTGCGTAGTGGTCGTCGACACTGCAGCACCAACTAGTCCAGCCAAAGCAAAGGATACACTGCAAAAACCAGGTAACCAGTGGCCGGCGTGCGGACCTATGCAGAGGCCCATCCATGCTGGCCCCCACGGGGCGTGCCCACAGACAAGGTACTGCAGCAGTGAGCGACGTCACACCAACCACCATCCGGCATCAACTCAGTCCAACCACCAATGGCCATCGAACACTCCACGAAACCTGGCAGACATCCTGTTGAAAGCACACAGACCTATGCAGAGGCCCAACTGTATTGTCGCGTGGCCGGTGGGTCCACACCCCGCTATAACGGGGACCAACGGGAGGCCTAGCATGCCAGATGGAAGCGCCAAGACCTGTGCAGAGGCCTATCCACAAGCGTCAACCTCTATCCAGCGTCGACTATTGTGGCCACGCCAAGGGGACACCTCTTCCAGTCCAGTGAGCTTTCCACAAACTCGTCATACCAGCTGTAGGCGCAGAGACCTATGCAGAGGCCCACACGTATTGCGTCTCCCAGTGGCCCGTTCCGCAGGCGAGGCACTCGAGCAAGCGACCGGATCATCCCTCAAGCCCCAACCAGTACAGCCATGACAATGGACACAACCGCCACTGTAAGGACCTATACAGAGATCCCAGTCGTCGGCAGTCAGCAGAACCATGCAGTGATGTCAGCAGCTGCTGAGTTGATGAGGCCATGGCAATCCGCACGGGCGAGGTTTAGTAGTTCCTAGGGGGGGAGACAAGGCGATGCAGGAAAGTGGTTTCGTTCCTAGGATCCCGGCGAGAAGGGTGAGTGAGAGTAGGCGAAGCAAAGGGGCAGTAAAGGCAGTGCAGCAAGGACAGTGCAGAAAGGCAAGGGCAAGGGCAAGGAAAGGAAAGCAGTCAGTGCAGGTCAAGGGCGGCAGGGCAGCAGACAGTGCACAGTGCAAAGGCAAGTCCGGGCAGTGCAAGGTTTTTTTTTGTTGGGGGAGAAATGTTTTGCACACTCCAAGAAGGGCTCACCCCAGGCCAAGCCAAGTGCCAAGCAGCCGAGCGTCATCAATGCAGCCAAGGGACATAAGTGCAACCAAGGGGCCAAGGCACATGAATGCAGCCACGCGACACCATATTAATGCGACCGAGCAGCCGCGGCACATAAATGCAGCCCAAGCTGCCAAGAGGCTTAAGTGCAGCCCCAAAACTCGCTGTGGCGACGTGTAGGGTTTACTGAGACTGGGATTGGGAATCATGCACATTTACGACTTCGATGACATCATGCTGCGAAGACTCATGTGTGTCAAGGTTGAAAAACTCATGCAGGGTCAGCTGCTTCAGGCGTGGGAGATTGCCTGGTATGCTACCATGCAGGGCTACATGGCATTCGACAGGCGTGGGTACATTGAACCCAAGACCATAAAGTCTCGACTTCATCCTCTCCGAAAGCGTGGAAGTATGAAGTGTGCAAAAAGCAACAAGCACCAGTCTCTCGTGTGTTCGGGTGGCATCGTCAACGTGGCCTGCATGCAGGAGCCTTCTAGCGTCGAACACAAAAGGCATCATGAGCGACTGGACTCTACCCATGATTGTTTGGTGCAGATGTTGTTTGGGCACTGTACCTATGGGGTCCTGCAGCCAGAGACCATCCTTGTCCCAATCAGGAGTGGAAAAGGCCTGTACTAGGGATGGGAAGGGAGCATTGCGGGTGTCTCGGTGCGGGGTTTCAACGGTCCCACGTCGAAGAACGAAAGTTGTGAATCTATGGGCCGGGGCTACCCAGTGCAAATATTTGGTGACTGTGAAGTTGAAATACGGGAGGTCAACCGACAGTGTCAGTAGCGAATCCCGGCATCTAGGGCTGGCCCCACCCACTACATAAACGCAACCATTATCCCCTCTCTTCAGCATAGACCTGGGTATCATGTGGAACATGCGCTCAATGTCCAGTTGACAAGGCGGACGATCAAGTTTGAGGATTCTAATTGCTTCTGTTTCGATGGGTTCGAGCCTGATATCCTCAGTCATACCGAAGTGAGGCCACA